CAACAACAGATTAGTCTTTCTTTGAGAGTTTACCATACAAATGTGCATGTATTTGTATATTCCTGGGCAGTGTGGTGCAGTAGATAAGAGAATTTGGATGGGAGAGTAGCATACAAAGGTATCAATCATAGGCAGCCATGTTTGTGGGTGCCTGAGGAGGAACAACTCCATGTCTATTTGTGCAAGTTCATATTTTGCATAAATTATTATGCTTTTTTAAAAAAACCTATTTGGCATATTTTTTTTCTGTTTCTGGTGGTCATGGCACATGGAGGAAGCAGGTATACAAGGCATTGTAGCCACGCCTTCCTATTCCTAGAGTTCTTACTCAGCAACTTTCATGATTTTGCCTGGTGTTGCCTATATTCTTAAGTATATTTTTGCAACTATAACGACTAGAAAGTGGAAGATTGAGCAGAATTGGAACCCAACAGCTTATCTGCCCCCCCCTCTGTTATGAGATCACTGTATACCCACAGCCACAAAAGTATAATGAAAGAAGCTACAGAGTTCAGCAAATTAAGCACTCGTTTTGGCATTTTAAATATCTGAAGCCATATTTTGCCTACATTTTTCAATTACTTCCCTTTGAGGTCCATTGCCCATTTGAAAACAAAATGCAGCACAGCTGAGATCCAGAAATCTCAGTGCTGCCCTAACGGAGTCGTATGTTGCAGATCAGTGACCCCACCATGCTTAATATGGAGGCAACTGCTAGTTTACGGAATACAGAATTCCATAGTAAAGTGCATTAACTGGAAGACCATTTAGACCATTACTGTCAGTATTGCCCACTTCTTTACGGCCAGTTTTTTTCTCTAATTACAGTGTGTCCGGCCAGTTGAATGCAGGATTATTATTATTATTATTACTCTTTTTGCCATGACAAAGCAATTGTCACCGAGGTTCCAGGGTTTATTTTACAACTTAATGTGGAACTTTGGATCTGTGAACAGATGGCATTGTCATTATTTTAGCCTTCCCCAAAGAATGGAAAGAAACACACAGTTGACATTTCCAAAATGTTTTTATTCAGTAATAAAAATTAGCTACATCTCATTGGAGAGACTGACTTAACTCCTGAGTTCATGGGCATAAGAAATGCAGAGGAAGCAGGGTTGTGTTGGTGGTGCTTCCAGTCCAATTTGCACAATGGACAGACAGGGCAGCACACTGCTTTGTGTCCCATCCTGAACACTAGCAATTTAGAACTAGGGGCTCCTCCTAACAACCTACTGTATTTTTCGCTCTATAAGACGCACCAAACCATAAGAGGCACCTAGTTTTTGGAGGAGGAAAACAAGAAAAAAAATATTCTGAATCTCAGAAGCCAGAACAAGAGGGATCGCTGCACAGTGATCCCTCTTGCTGTTCTGGCTTCTGGGATAGCTGCGTAGCCTGCATTTACTCCATAAGACATACACACATTTCCCCTTACTTTTTAGGAGGGAAAAAGTGAGTCGTATAGAGCAAAAAATACGGTACTTATTGAGCATTCATCCTGATTTGCTTGCCCAAAGTGCGGGCACAGGTTACATTAGAACTGCTCTTTTATACAGCATTCATTTTTATTTGTTGGTAGGGAGATCATACAGCAATAATCATTCACCCTGCTTTGCATGGCGTTCGTCTATCTTTCTGTTAATCATTCATTCCCTCCACGTTTTCCAATGCATTTTCCCTGTAACTTTCCTAACCGCAAAAAGCCTGTTACTTTTTAAAAAGATGATCTGTTGCCAACAGAGCTCTTGAATCCCTTCTTTAATTGCACACGTCTAAATTTCCCAGAAGGCACTTGACTCCCACAAAATACGGACAGTCTGGAGCCTTCCTGCTGGATGTTCCTCTAACCGCTGTACCACATGACCAGAAGTGGGCTGGTGTTAAATTACTGCTACAAGATCCAGCCACTGGCTGATTGCCAGATCAGGCAATATCACATAACACACACACACTGAAATAACTTGTTATTGATGCTGGTATGCCAATATTACAGACAAAAACATTGGTGCAAACAAATCTTTCTTTTCCTCAAGTGTCACCTGGCAGCAGCCATTCCACCAGGCTCCCTCAGTGGGAGAGATGAGAAGCAGGGCTCATTGCCAAAAGACTTTGCCAACAGACCGGTTCCTTCAGGCACCTCCTTCCCTGAGCTGTTTCTATGACAGCTGATGATTATAATAACTACTACTTAAGAATCGGTGCCCCCCTCCCTTGTCCCTTTCCCCTTGTGTGACACTTTTTTAGATTGTAAGCCTGTAGGCAGGAACTGTCTTGTTTTAATTGATTGTGTGTAATCTCTTCTGGCACCCTTTTTGGCAGAATACTGGGGAACAAATGCTCTAAATAAATCAGTGTTGATGACTGGGTTGTAAGGTTTGTCTCTTCTTCTGGAGCAAGGAAGGCAGACTTCAGGCTTCTGGGATCTGCTTTGTGTTTTACTAGAACCACAAAATCCACCAACACATCCTGCATAAAAGCCCACTCCTGGTTACCCTAAGCTTTCAGCAGTCTAAGCAGTCTAATTTTCCTAACGGCTGGGTGTCAGAATCCTTGCCAATCTACTGCAAATCTCCCAGAGATCTCCCTTCAATCTGATTTCAGTAGGCGACTGAGACGCCTCCATCAGACCTCAGCCAAGTGCTATTGTGGGATCCATGGGCCAGAATATCCAGAGCATCACAGGCAGATGGCATGGCCAAAGATGGGCCTGTGGTCATGTTCTGCAGAGGGAAGATATTTTCAGCAGCTTCCGTCAGTGGTGAGTGGCTCAAGCTGAGGAGCCAAGCCGGGAACAGCAGTTAGGTTAAAAAGGCTAGCTAGGCCTCAATTGGTTCCTCAGGTCATCTGATCGCGATGGGCTGAAGAACATCTGTAACATCTCTGGCCATTACCAAGGCAATGCTGCTCTGTCTTAGAACTGCCCTCAGTAATCCAGGGTGAGAGTGTGGCCTTGCTGCCAGAGTCCCCAGTTCACTTGGTGGCCTTGCGCCCACTTAGCTGTGAAGCTCCTTAGGCAGCCTTGGGCAGGTTGACTTGCCTTTCTGACTAACCTGCTTCACAGGGTTGTTGTGAGGATAAAATGAAGGAAGCCTCACATAAACTGCTGTTGTATGACCCTCAGAAGGACACATACAGAAGGATGCCTCTGTGGGCAATGTTTCTGAACGTGTGTATGTTATATAGCTGCTTAGTATGCATTATGTATGTTCATTATGTAGCATGTACTGTTAGAAATTCTGTAGCAGGTCTGTGTACTGGCCCTGGGTCGTGAATTGAATTGGGTCAATTTGGGTTGAGGCAACCCCAGGTTGGATGAGGTCTATCTGGAGTGATCTGGGGGGGGGGCAGTCCAGTGGAGAGGAGAGGAGGAGTGGAGATGCTTACAGGCCATCTAATCACATATTTAATTAGGGTTTTTAAACCCTAATTAAATAATGTGCAAGGCCTCTGAATTTATTTGGGTCCCGGCATCACAGGGCCACCCTGAAGTGCTGGATTGTACTATTATGTATTATCTATAAAGATGTGTTGCTTATTTGTTCCAGTATGCAACGACAGCAGCAAGACTGCTGTTGGCACAGAACTGGAAATCATCTAAAATACCAACTATAAGTGAATGGCAAAACAAGCTATTTGAGTACTCTGAGCTAGCAAAAATGACACAGAAGATCAGGCATCAGAGTAATAAAATCTTTATTAATGATTGGAACAAATTTATATCATACATGGAGAAAACTTAGGTAATATTAAAATAACAGTAGGTGAATTATAGAATCTGCGAAGTAAAGATAAAGGTAGAAAGAAGGAACTGCAAGAAGGGTATCAATGGGATATAGCTTAAATCGCGGTGGAGGGAAGTCAGAATGATGTTATGATAATTAATACTTTCGGAGAAATGTATTTACGTCTTGATATTTTATTGTCTACATCTGTTTATTTTGCGATGTCTTTTTTTTTTCTTTTCTATTGTGATTTTAAAAGAGTGAATATTGGAAATAAAAGTTATAAAAAAAAAGATGTGTTGCTTATTTTTATGACTTGTATTTATATAATAGCTTTCATTTTTTGGTATGAATATAAAGTTATGTATTGATATAGTTTATTATCTTCTATGTTCTAGAGTGCCCTGTGGACTTTTGACAAAGTGTGGCATATACATTTTAATAGTAACAGTGCTGCTGCTGCTGCTACTATGTACTCAATCAAATAAGTGCTTTGAGACTTGAGACTTACATTAAGTTTCAGCAGTTTCTGTGACCAGCCCAAAACTCAGTCACCCAATGCATATTCTGTGCCCTCTTGTTTTCACACATGGCTCCCATTGGAGTGTGCAAAGGTGGAGACATCTCACCAGAAAGGCAAAGGGAGCCGCTGGCTCCCGGAGGATTTCTCCGGAACTGCTAAACTGCCTAGAGAAGTCAGTTCCCATTTAGAGGTGTGCAGCAGATGTATCATTTGGCAGATGTCTGCAGTCAGTAATTTGCCACTCGTCAGTGATTGCCTGCTAAGTTGCCATGACCAAAGCTGGGGTGAAAATAACAGCGAAGGATACGCTTAGACTTGTCCATAAGCAATTTTCTAGAAACCTCTCCAAATCTTAACTGTTCTGTATCCCAAAGCCAAAATGACAGTCCTTTAAGTCCACCTTTTGTATTCTTTCACCCGAAAGTTTGATTTATTTCCTCACATTTTCTACAGAGAACATAAGAAGAGCTTGCTGGATCAGGCCAATGACCCATCTAGTCCTTGAAGAATTCCCCTCCCAAAGCAACACTTCCAAGAGTGGTTTAACGGTCACTCCCTCTTCACAGGAAATTTTGGGAATTGTAGCTTTGGGAGGGAAGCTAGGGGTCTCCTATCAACTCATCGCATTTTTAACAGACTACAGCTCTCATAATTCTTTGTGGGAAGCTGACTGTCTAAAGTAGTTACCAGAGTGCTTTACAGGTGTGGTGCAATTGTTGTTTGAGTTTGATATCCCCACTCTCTTTTAACAGGAGGCCTCATTCCTTGCCCCTGTCAACACGCTGCCCACCCCAAAAGGCGCCAAAAGAGAGATGCTGCTCATGACCATTTGGTTATCTAGCTGCGGACAGGTTGCCCCTTGCTGCCAGCAGACCAGCTTCTTTCCCGGAACCCCCTTGGCAGCAGCTAGCATCTACCCTGCAGTTGTGACCTGGCTCCTGTCTCTGGTGAGTGGAACAAATAGCTTCTAGGAAGTGTTGCAAACTGGAGGCAGGACAATCTCTTAGCCAGATGAAAAGGGAGATATAAAGCTGCAGTGCAGATATGTGAGATTTCCCATAAATCAGAAAGTTGCTACTAGCCATAATGGATCTTGTGGGAAAATTAGGACAGCAGGATAGTTCAGCTAGTAAGAGCACAAGGATCTGAATCCCATGGGTTCAAGCCCCAGGGTAGGCAAAAGATTCCTGCATTGACTCGCGGGGTCCCTTCCAACTCTAGAATTCTATGATTCCAGAAGCCTTGTGTGACCTTCCCAGAGTCCGGTAAGCAAGGCTTAAAATGTTCCTTCCATGGCTGGAAAACATGACACAGAAAGCACTTTTTAAGCAGGGGGATCCTGTGAAATCTTGGGCGGCCCTTCTATGGGGTTTTTCCTGCTGTCCTACCCCGTCTTATTTGCTTTACAAGTTTTGATGATCTGTGTAAAGCTGTGATCGTGTTTGTAAAAGCTGGATAAGATGAAATCAACCTGTGCAGCTTTGGGCAAATGCTAAAGACGCATCTCATTACCCTGGGCTTTGACACGAGGAAATCAAATCATAGAATTGTAGTCTTAGAAGAGACTCAGAGGGTCATCTAATCCAACCCCCTGCAATGCAGGAATTTCAACTAAGACAAAAGGTAAAAGTAAAGGACCCCTCGATGGTTAAGTCCAGTCAAAGGCGGCTATGGGGTGCCCCATTACGGATGGCCATCCAATCAGATGGGGACAGCATCTGCCTGCCTCCAGTCTTCAGGGACCTCACTTGTTCTCCAAGAATTCTCAATGATCATAGACAGAGGCTCTGAGATTACATCCACAAGCTTCTTTAGTACCCTTGGGTGCAGGTCATCAGGCCCTGCAGATCTCAATTCATTTAAAGTAGCCACCTCTTTCCCTATTTTAGGCTGTAGCTCCCACTTTGCATCATTTGTTCTGTTATCACCAGGTTCCTTTTGGATGAAGACAGAGGCAAGTAGATGTTGAGCAGTTCTGCCTTCTCTCTGTCACCCAGTAGCATTTCTCCGTCTTCCCTGCGCAAAGGACCTAATACTTGCTTGTTCTTCCTCTTGCTTCAAACGTAGCCGAAGATACCTTTTACAATTATTTTTAGCCTCTCTTGCAAGCCTGAGCTCATTATGAACTTTGTCCTGCCCGACTTTCTCCCTGCGACTATTGGCCACTTGTGTATACTCCTCCTTCGTGATTTCCTTTTTCTTTCATTTCTTATACATGCCCTTCTTAAAACTCAGCTTATCCGTAAGCTCTTTATGCAGCCACACAGTTTCTTTAGAAGTCTTTTCTGGAATAGACTGCTTTTGTGCCTTCAGTATTTCACCTTTAAGAAATTCCCACCCTTCTCTTTGAGTATTCTCCCTTCTCTTTGAGTATTCCTGATGTGTGTTTTCAAGACCCACCTTGTTCAAGGGATTGTAATATGTTTTAACTGTTTTTAATTTTAAATGTTTTTAACCTGCCCTCAATCTACTGGTGAAGGGCAGGTGATGAATTTAATTTAATTTATTAGTAAATAATATTTGAACTCTTCCCTGAATTTTCAGCTTCTTTTTCTTTTTCTAAAGAATGAAAGCCTCTAACCCTTTCACCCATAAGGGGAATTGTGCAGGCAATATTCTATCCTATTTCTCAATAATAAGCAAAATGCTTACTCCTGCTTTCAGTGTTCTGGTCAGCGGTCTGAAAGGCACCAGAATAATTGACCAAAGCTTGGCAGTGTTTATTTTTTTAAAATTTCATTTGGAAAAAAAATCAATGTTTAAAATGATTTAATAATTCAAATGCATTTGACTGCTCGAGCACGATCCAGCCAAATTTAAGCACTTTTTATGCTCAGTCAATTTCAGTGGGAAATTTAACCTGGAAATCTTATACATGTCTACTCAGAAGACAGTCCCCACTGATTTCAGTGGGACTTACTTCCGTCAGGTAGGCATGCATAGAAAGTTGCAGCATTAAGCCTGGGTGTTTGAAGGCTGCAATTCTAAATCTACTGGGATAACTGGCTCAATTACCTGTTGAAGCCCTTTATTATACAAAATCTGCAGTGTTTGGCTTGTGAATCTGGTTAGGGGGAAAAAAGACTTTACCTGTTGCAGTCACTCACACAAGATGCTCATAGGTAAGGAAATAATTATTGTACGAAATATAGAAAAGGGTTCTAGTCTGAGTCTAGAGAAGAACAAGGCAGTTGTGCTTGCTCTTTTGTTCTCTCGGAGGATAATTCAGAGATGACCACTCATTTTGAGGTCTGAAAGAGAGGTGTGAGGAGGAGGTTTTAATGAGGATGCAGCCTAAGATGTATCAGTCTAAACAACAAAGAGATACATAGAGAAGTCAGCATGGTGATAAAGGTACAGGGATAGTTGGGGAATCTGAATGTTACTCACTTTGTCTGTCTTAACTTCATGCAAACTCCTCTTCATCCAAGTCCCATTGAATGCAGCAACACTTTCTTCTGAGTAGGCATAGACTTTATTTATTGATTACACCACTGTATATACTGCTTAATATAAACAATATCAAAGTGGTGCATTACATAAGAACAAAACATGCCATAAAAGCTGCATGCACATTTTGTATAGAAATTAATTCACGTTCATCAATGGTGCACACAACTGGGTCCCACTTCAGAAAGCACCGGGGCTGAACAGGAAAGACTTACGCAAGGTGCTGCACATCTTTTCTGTCCATATTGATGCAACAGAAAAGCGCTTAGCTTTATTTGGATGGTGCCCCTTGTGTTAGCATAGAAAAACTGTATTATACCAAGTCAGAACGCTGGTCCACTGAGTTCAGTATTGTCCACACTGACTGGCAGCAGCTCCCCAGGGTTTCAGAGGAGGAGCATTTCTAGCCCTACTTGCAAATGCTGGGGCCTGAACCAGGGACCTTCTGCATGCAAGGCAGCTGATCTGCCACTGAGCTATGACTGTTCCCTAAAGTTGCTGGATGGTGTTCCTCCCCATATACCGTATTTTTCACTCCATAAGGCGCATCTGACCATAAGGCTCACCTAGTTTTTAGAGGGGGAATTCAAGAAAAAAAATATTATTTACAGGGAGTGCTGAGCACAACCTGTATGCATCCCAGGCTCTGCTCAGCGCTCCCTTTCATGAGCCGCGTGGAGTGTGTGACGGGCTGCCCTTCTCCCTCCTCGGGGAAAAGCCCCCAAGAGCCACACACACACTCCACGCGGCTCTTTAAAGGGAGCGCGGCTCTTGGGGGCTTTTGCAGGAGGTCGGGGAAGTGAGAGAGCCTCGCTCTGTCACTTCCCCCACCTCCTGCAAGAGCCACGCACTCTTTAAAGGGAGCGCGGCTATCCCTGGCTTTTGCGGGAGGTGGGGTCTGTCCCTTCCCCCACCTCCCGCAAAAGCCAGGGGTAGCTGCGCGAAGCCTCCGCAGGGCAGCGGGATGAAGGCTGTGCAGCACTCTTTCTAGCTGTTCTGGCTTCTGGGGTAGCCCGTGAAGCCTCCGCAGGGCAGCGGGGAGCCTTCATCCCACTGCCCTGCGGAGGCTTCGCGGGCTACCCCAGAGCTGCTCCAGAGCTTGTTGGGGCTGGCGGGGGAAGCCCAGGTCCCCCCCCCAGCCCCAGGGACCACACATTCGCCCCATAAGACACACAGACATTTCCCCTTAGTTTTTAAGAGGAAAAAAGTGCGTCTTATGGAGCGAAAAATACGGTCCCTCACTGCCGCAGGCCCAGCTGTTCAAGTCACCTTTTGAGCAGGCAATGCAAGGTACACTGGCATGCTGGATTGTCTGATTACTCCTTCTTTCCTGTCCTCCTGATGCAGCCTTCCAGCAGTGCTTGCAGTTGATCAGGATGGAGGCAAGGCTCCTTTCCCCTCGCAGCCTGCATTTCTCAAGGAAATATATCATCCTCCAAATCTGCCTTTCTTCCATCTTCCACCCATGACATCAATGGCTCAGCTTATGCAAAGCAGGGCTTCCAATCCTATCTGGCTGCTTCCAAAGTCAATAGGCTGAATCTGGTTCTTAGTTTCCAAGTCACGTAGAAGAAAGGGGAGGGGGAGAGAGGAAATCAAGGGGAAGAAACGAGCCAAAGATAATTAAATGTGATGGTTTAGAATGGAATGGAGTTTTTCCTCTTCTGGTTTTTTTTTTTTTTTTTTTTGCCTAGTGTCAAAATTTGGTTTCTATTAAAATATGTAGTCAGAGCGACGAAGGTCATTCAATCTGTGTTTTTAATTAGGCTTTGTGTGAAATTGCTTGTAAAGGGTTAATCAGTGAACTGTCAGTGCTATAGCTGTCAGATCCAGAGTTTCCTGGGGAGAGGAATTGATTGCTAAACCACTTGTAGCCTTGGAAGAGTAATAGGGTGTGTGTGTGTGTCTCCTAACAAACTCTCGCTCATCACCCTTTAAAAACCACAGTTCCCAAGATTCTTTGGGGGAAGCTGTTGTTCTAGGAAAGAAAGGCCACCTTCCTTGTCCTGTCTGTTGAAGTGGCATCATAGGGCTTTAAATGTGTGTGGATGTGGCATAAGTGGAACATCCTCCTCCTATTGCCCAAGATAGAATCCCCTGAGAAACTATTTTCTCATTCAAAGTGGAAGGTGACTGACAAGCTTACAACTATTAATGCACATTACTGGGGGAATAGGAAGGCTCCCTGGGAAAAGAAAAAGCCACGCACCAGCTCTTCATAATAGCATAATCACTTAGCATTGATTTTCAACGGAGGTTATTGACCCTATTATCATCAATAAGGGCAATGTACTGTGTTGCTGCAGGAGAGAACATGCCAGTCGATAAGGACTCTCTGTTCTCTTCCCAGGAAACTTAAGAGTGAGTTACAGGCTTGCTCTCTGTTGCAGAGCTACCCAAAATGCAAACATTGGAAGCAATGATAAAGCACATAACCGTGACGGGACCCTGTAATTTTTAGCTGTCAAATGTGCTTCTCATATAGTTATTTAACTTGTTTATCTATTTGGTAAGATATCTATCCCACCTTCTGCACTGCATTTGCAGCGCTCAGGGCAGCTTACAATTTAAAAGGGCAAAACAAGTCTGGCAGATTTGTTGTTGTTTAGTCGTTTAGTCGTGTCCGACTCTTCGTGACCCCATGGACCAGAGCACGCCAGGCACTCCTGTCTTCCACTGCCTCCCGCAGTTTGGTCAGACTCATGTTTGTAGCTTCAAGGACACTGTCCAACCATCTCGTCCTCTGTCATCCCCTTCTCCATGTGCCCTCAATCTTTCCCAACATCAGGGTCTTTTCCAGGGAGTCTTCTCTTCTCATGAGGCCTCCAAAATATTGGAGCCTCAGCTTCACGATCTGTCCTTCCAGTGAGCACTCAGGGCTAATTTCCTTAAGAATGGATTTCTTAAGGAATGAATGAATGGCAGATTAAAAAGGAGTGGGTTGTATTCAGCTAACCTAAGTTAGTCACAGCCATTCATTTAAATGGGTCTACTTTGAGTAAAAGTTAGCTGAATTTAATCCAGCACCGTTGGGCTGTATTCAGCTGACTTTTGCTCAGAGTACACCCTTTGAAACTAATGGTGCTGAGTTCATCATGTCCGTTAATTTCAGTGGTTCTGCTTTAAGTAACCTCCAGTTATTTAACAATAAAAGGAATAAAAACGGTGGCCAGTACAGCAGGTAAAAGAGGTTAAGAAGAGGTTGTCATTAAAACTGTTGAGGCCAAGTGCCCGCTGTAATATTATTATATTATTCATTTAAAATGTACAAATGTCTCCCAAAGCATTAATGCAGCTTACAGGGGGGGGGAAACAATGAAATCATCACTAAAAACAGCTAAAAAAACAAATTTCAAACATTCAAAAAAAGGAAAAGCGAATCAGAGCCTCTAAATGGAGACCTGGATTAATGGTGTCTGGGACAGAGCTCTCTTGGATCATGTTATGCAGAGAGGGCTATTAGGGGTCTCCCAAGCCACTGTGTGGAGCGGCCAAAAGTGAGCTCGCTGAAAGTGGGGTAATGCATGAGGTTCAGGAACCTTGCACTAAGATGAATGTGCACAGGCATGAGAGCGGAGTGATTAGAATATTACCTTCCCCTGCTTCTGTTCTGTGTTTTGCTTTGTACAGAGCAGAGGTGTTGTGGTCCAGGGTCATAGTGGGGGCGTTGAAGACCCATTACTGTTTCTGCCGCCAGCATTCTAGAGCTGCCCAAACAGCACGAAAGGGGAGCTTTTCAACTACTGAGAAGAAGTCTTCTCACCTTTTGTGCTGATGGAAGCCAATCAGAGTGAAAGATAGATGAGTCAGCCACCGAGGATTGGCTCTCAGGGTCACTCTGGAGAGGGTGTGTGGGAAGAGCACTGGGTGGGAGTTGTTCTGCATGCTCCAAAGCTAAGCGTTTAGGAACAATGGGAACACAAGGAGCTTCAGTTTGAAGAGATTGGTGTGCAATTTCTGTTACACACAATAGAACTTCAAGGAAAACACAAGCTAAGTCACTCTGAAAGAAGATAGAGGAGTACCCCAAATGATTTCTGCATGCACATACACAGAAAACAATAGACCTTGCTGGAAGGCAACACACGGAGATCTGCATTGATCATTGCAATGCATCCCTGATTATTCTTATTGTGTAAGATTAGTGCATAATCTTAGAAGGGGACCTGATTGTGGCTGGGTTTGGTTGTGAGAAGGTCATGACTGTGGCTATCGTGAAGGGACCCTGTGCTTCTGATTTTGCCACTACAGTACTGCTGCAGAGTATAATAATAATAATCATAATAACAATTTTATTATTTATTCCTTGCCCATCCAGCTGGGTTGCCCTAGCCATGTATGGCAGAACATGGCTTTTACAGGGAGGAAGATGACTGGCCGGACCCCAGCCGGAGCAAAAGACTCCTATTCTGCAGAGTTTCTTCTCTACTTTGACCCAACTCAAGTTAGGCTCATGATCGGTTAATCCATGTCATCTTTTCAAATGCAATGACAGGTACCCTGCCTGGGAGCAAGAGGAGAGAGCAAAGCACCATTCCAGGTCTTGGGGCTGCAGCAGATCTGGTATAAGGATGGCCTGGCACTCCACGCTTGTTTAACACCAGTCAGCGAGTCGGAAGTCCACAGCAGTCGGAAGCATGAAGTAAGCAGCAGCACTGCAACTGTCTTTCTGTTCCTCTGTTGAGTAAGAGCCGCTGTTCTTTTTCAATGCCATAAATGTGCCTCCCTAAATTTAGAGAGGAGGCCCTCAAAAGCGCCAGTGGGGTCTTGAACCAGGGAGTCTGGCAACCAGGTCCATGGCTGCTGGCATGAAGAGGGAGCTGCTGGCCCAGTGGTGTCTCTGGTCTGGTACCTCCAAGAATGTTGTTCATGTCCACAGGCTGCAGAAACTGAAAAGATCTGTAGCAATAGGACAAACAGAAACTGATAATAGGATGAGCAATAGGGCACCTCCACAGATTCTTCAGCCGAGGGTCTTAAGTCAGAATGATTACAAACGACTTTGTAAAAGCCTTTTTGCAGACCGGTCACAGCAGAACACCAAGGCATCTCACCATCAGCACAAGGGCTAAAAATATAATTGGGGTTTCACCAAACTGGCAAAAGTAGCAGGAGTGGGATATTTAACCCTTCCCTGTCTGCAAGTTTCCTCATGCTCAGCTGCTGCCTGCAGCTGCTTTTCCCCACAAGGCAAACATGCATTCAGAATGTCAACTTTAGGTGGCTGGTGGGGCTGAGATGGGGGGTTTAAAGTAGGGCTGTCCTACTTTAGGACCCCCCCCAAGATTGTAATGAGATTTGGAAGGGGCACTCACATGAATTTAAACATTCTCACTTTTCCCTTTGTATATTAGATGGATGAGGGTTTTTGTTTTTTTAATGTCCAAGAAATGTGCAATGTCTGGGAGCAGCTTATTTGTTTAGTTCTTACTGTTCTGGTTTTGTTTGGATTTCTCTCCCTTGTTTTTATAATTGTATGATGAAATGGTTGTAACCTGCCCTGGGACCTTCTGGCGAAGGGCAGGTATGAAATCTCATCAATAAATCATCTGAAGCATTGGCAAGGATTTTTGTTCTTGTCGTTTGAAAAGAAAGAAAAGGAAAAGCAACAACAAAGCCCAAGCACCTCCTATTTAAAGGTAATATGAAAATTCGTTAAATTCACTTGCCCACCAAAGACTAATACGGTTTTGGGGAGGGGTGTTTTCACTCTGCCCCTTCCCAAGAATTTATGAAATTTGGCTGGACTGTATACTTCAGCCTATCACTATTTGAAACCCTTTCATCTTAGCCTCTTTTCCCCCAGCTGATCTTCTGGATTCTTGGACTCATGGATGCATGAAAGAGGATAGGGAGTAGTGAAGTGGGGAAGTGGGGAAGGGGGAGGGCTAAGCACCTCTCCTCCCATTTGTTGCTTCTCTTCTACAAATCACACCCTCCTCCTTGACAGTTTCAAGCTGTTTGGCAGCCCAGGTGCCGAGACATAGGTCTGTTGTCACCATGGGTCTAGTTTAGTTGGGAATATTTTATAATACTTTTGGTGTTCTAGGATGCTTGCAGAGATGCTATATACTTTCTCAGTTACAATCACATGGATGCTGAAAGCTGTACTCATCCACCAGTTAAGAGTGTGCATGACTTCCTAACTGGGAGTATATAACAATAAAGTAAAAAAAAAGAAGCCAGACACAAGGATTATCTAAAAGAGCATTGCCTCAAAGCTGCAGGTCACCATGGTTATTGGCGAATTCAAAATCCTGCACTCCCTTTACATTCTAATTGCTGGGGTTTTTAAAAAAGAAGTGCAGGAGACAGAGAGCAAAGAGGGTAATGATTAAGGCTTCAGTGTGTATTGATCATCCGAGGAGAATCACCGGAAGCTACTAATATTTTGACACTTCTGACTTAAGCAGTTTAGTTCAATCTGGTGCTTAATATTTCAGTGGCGTTTAAAACCCTTCACCCCCTCCCCACCCTGGCTGCAGCAAGCATTTATCATCTGCAGCTGAGGACCTGGCTGCCAGAGAGCAGTAAAGGCCACATTTCCTGCAGTGTGTCATAAAACCCGTAATGTGACAGCTGTGGCTGCTGTGCTCTCCCCTCCCCCTCCTCTTTTGCCTGGAGGAAAGTGATTGATGTTGATTAAAAACTGCAATAAACAAATAAAGGCAGCTTTCAGGGAGAAGGGAATTTGGGGGTCCTTAGAGCAGCTGGGCCCAGAAGCACCCACCAAACAGCAGCAGTTTTCAGATGATAAGGGTGCAGGTCCATGCCATATGTTTAAAGCACATCCAATGTGCATGTTGTTGTTGTTTAGTCATTTAGTTGTGTCCGACTCTTCGTGACCCCATGGACCAGAGCATGCCAGGCACTCCTGTCTTTCACTGCCTCCCACAGTTTGGTCAAACTCATGCTGGTAGCTTCGAGAACACTGTCCAACCATCTCGTCCTCTGTCGTCCCCGTCTCCTTGTGCCCTCCATCGTTCCATCTTTCCAGGGAGTCTTCTCTTCTCATGAGGTGGCCAAAGTATTAGAGCCTCAGCTTCAGGATCTGTCCTTCCAGTGAGCACCCAGGGCTGATTTCCTTCAGAATGGAGAGGTTTGATCTTCTTGCAGTCCATGGGACTCTCAAGAGTCTCCTCCAACACCATAATTCAAAAGCATCAATTCTTTGGTGATCCAATGTGCATGGCTTTCCCCCATGAATTCTGGGAACTGTGGTTTGTCAAGGATGCTGAGAATTGTAGCTCTGTATGGGGAAACTATGGTTCCCAGGATTCTAGGCAGGGAGAAGCAAGGGGCTGCTCAGGCTAAAAAAGAAAGGGACTGGGGGGGATGGGGAGCCAGTGTGGTGTAGTGGTTAAGAGCGGTAGATTTGTAATCTGGTGAACTGGGTTCGTGTCTCCACTCCTCCACATGCAGCTGCTGGGTAACCTTGGGCTAGTCACACTTCTCTGAAGTCTCTCAGCCCCACTCACCTCACAGAGTGTTTGTTGTGGGGAGGAAGGGAAAGGAGAATGTTAGCCGCTTTGAGACTCCTTAGGGTACTGATAAAGCGGGATATCAAATCCAAACTCTTCTTCTTCTAAGTGGGAACACGAAAGAGGTGTGTAAAATTATCCAGTGGTGTGGAGACTGCTGCTAGAGAGAGGTTTTTCTCCTGCTTCCATAGTCCTAGAATAGGAGCCATCAAATAAAGCTGAATGTTGGAAGATTCAAGCAAGCAAAAGGAAGGACGTCTTTGCACAGTGCATAGGTAAACTGTAGAATTTGCTCTCATAAGAGGCAGGGACTGTCATCCACTTGAATGGCTTGGATTAGACAACTTCATGGAGGAAGAGGCTTATCAGCGGCAACTAGCCATGATGGCTGTGTTTTGCTTTTAGCTTCAGAGGCAAGAAGTATCAGAATATCAGTTGCTGGGATTCACAAGTGGGGTGGGTGCTGCTGCACTCGGGTTCTGCTTATGAACTTCCTTCAGGCATCTGATTGGTGACCTTGGGAGCAGGAAGCTGGACTAGTATTTGGCCTGATCCAGCCAGGCTGTTCTTATCAACAGTTATAGCAGTACAACTAAGGACTCTGCTGGTTCCTTGGGGCATCTGGATCCAGCTGTAATGAAGAACAGCAGTACCACCTTGGAATGGGGAGCAAAAGGGCTGGAAGCATCAGAGATGGTAAAAGGCAGGCTGGTGCTCTGGTGGCGTGGCAGTCTTCATGCCAGATGAGTGGGACACATTGCTGGAGGAACAGTGCTATAGCAGCAGCCCAACCACTGCTGCTTCCTCAGGACCACAACGTCTTCTCTGGTTGTTCTTGGGTTGGCAATCAGCGGGGACTGGTGCCCATTGTGCCTGGTAGGGTGGAAGGCAGGGAGCCCAACAGTAGGGGGAGCCAGAGCCAATGACAAACAGAGCCAACTCATTCTAGTTTTGTCCCCATCCCCCCTCTCCCTGCTGAGTTCTCTAAGGGTCAGCACTGAAACTGAGGAGGAGAAGCTGACAGCCAGGGGTACCCCTTAAACTGGTTATAAGCAGTTAAGGCAGGCGATGGCTGGCGGAGGGCAGACTGAGCTTGGTCAAACTGTGCCCCATTTGCTGTAACCAACCAACCTCCACTGGTGGCACTGCAGCGTAGGAAATACCATGCCTAGTAGCTCTGTCAGCCTGCAAGCTGCCTCAGTGCCACAAAAAACAAGCCCCCTGAGCCCCCTGTTGCTTTACAATGAGCTTTGTATCTGGTGTTTGCCTTCTCTTACAAAGGTGCCTTCAAAATTCTGTCTGCCAGCAATGGATGCCGTTGTTCCTCTTCTTATTTGAGGCATTTGTACAGCTGACATTCATACCAGTCGAGAGGGAAAACCTGACGGGAAACGCATAAACCAAATCTTCCCGAAATGTCAGTTGCAGCAGAGAGAGAAAGCAAATAAACACCCGGGCGCTGCTTTCTCCTTTGGCAGCCTCCCTGGGGGGTTCTTTTGTTGCTTGGATTTAACTCTCCAGCCTTTCTTGGCAGTGGCGACATGCAGCATCTCTGTGACCTCCTTTAAAAACACTTTAATAGACACCTTGTGAAAAAAAAACCTGACATGTTTATCTCGGCAAGTTATCTCCTTGGGGACCGTTGCCTCATGGATCTCTTCATGTGGCAGAGAGCTTTTTTTGTTTAAGAGTTGGAGGAAAGAGTTGTTTAACAATGCTTCATCTGCTGATGAGTTCAAGGTCCTTGCAAGACAGCCTTGAAGAGTATTTAAATAATATATACCTGCTTTTAGCTAGGTTAGCTCCCTCAGATAAGGAGAAGGATGTGAGGGAGAAAGTCTTACTCATTTGATCTCTGTGTGAACGTGCGGTTGGGGGCCCTGTGCCCTTGCAGAACAACACCTCAGAACCTTCTAGAACTAACAAGCATGAGCAAGCACTCATGGCCCTGTCTTGAGGACCATATGAAGCTGCCTGATCCTGAATCACTGGTCCATCTAGCGCAGGCTTGTTTTCACTGACTAGAAGCAGCTGTGAAGAGTTTCAGATGGGGGAGGGGCATTCCCAGACCAACCTGGAGATGCCAAGAATTGAATCTAGACCTTCTCTGTGTAAAGCAGATGTTCAGCCACCAAGCTACTGGCCTCCCCCTAAAAACTGATTCTAGTCCTCATGGTTCCAAATAAATGGCTGATGAAACTAGAAATGGCTGATATAAATAAGGAGATGCATTATACTGAGTCAAGCCATTGGTCCATGTAGCTCTGTATTGTCTTCACCAGGGATGGGGAACCTGTGGCCCTCCAAATGTTGTTGGACTACAACTCCCATCATCCCTTTCCATTGGCCATACTGACTGGGGCTGATGGCAGACGGGTCACAGTTTCCGCATCCTTGATGTATACTGTCTAGCACTAGCTTTTCAGATTTCCTTGAGATTTATTTTCTGTCCATGCCCATGATAATCCACTGGAGTGCCCTTTCCTGTTGGGGGAGCGGGAAGAGACCAAAATTCAGCTGGTAACATCTAAGGAAGGATGTGTTTCACAGTCTGTTTATGAACTATGCATTATCTTTTCGATTTAGGCAATTATAAATGTTTGTGATTCCTATACTACCCACTGCAAACAAGTCTGCTACGTACTAATGCACAAAATATGGGAAGCAGTGCTGAGCTGTATTAAGATGCTAATAAAATCCCCTCCACTTTTATGTCCCAGAATACCATTTCCACTTTGCTTCTCATTCTAGGTATTTCGTTTGTTACCAGAGGACCAGTCCATTAATCTTGTGTTCCTTTTTTGCAGCCCAAGAACTCCCTTCAGGGAATGTCTCTGTTCCATCAGCAGAGCTCCGTGTTTCTCTCTCAAACGTCTCTCTTGGATGTTATCTGGTGGAAAGCACAACTGGACAGTCACATGCAGAATCAGTCATACCCCTTCCTTCCTGAGATTCCTCCCATCCACCTCAGCCACTTTGCTACCCTTAACTCAGATTCCATGGTAACGTATCCACACTTTGCCTTTGCCCCTGTTTACTGACGCTGACATGGAATGGGCAAATTTGTCAATTTCCGTTTCTCATTTTCCCAATTTTATGTTAGTCTTCTACATTTGCACATCAATTTGCAATTTTAAAAAAAGCCCTCATGAAAATTCATCTGGATTTGAGTGCAATTTCCCCCTAATATGTTTTAATGCAATTTTGTCTAATATACACATTTTTGCAAAGCAATTTCCCCTGCCATGATGCGTTGGATTTTTAGGCGCACCATCTCCTAGTATATGCATTTTTGTACATATTACTTGGCTGGAGAACTGCATTGCAAAATCTGGAATAGTATGAATTTCAAAGGCTGTCTGTGTTTCAGTTCTCGTACTGTTTCAGAAATAAGGAATTTGGAAGATTCGGCATCAAATGTGAATCAAATCTGAATCAAACTTCTTCCCCATCCCTACCAATGGCAGCACTGCCAATAGTTTTAATCATGGTTAAACAAAGAAGGAGTGGATGATGATGGATTGCACAAGCTTTCTCCCACCCACTGCAGCTCAGAAGCCCAGGTCCAGCCAGGGGCTGGCATAACCATCTCCAAGAGCCTTTCATTCCACATAGCTGGCGTGCTAATGTAAGCAGTGTGTCCGGCATGAAAGCCTGGAAGGATGGTGGAGTGCTAGGCTAGGCTCCAGGCCAATGGGCTGCCCCTTTAAGCCTTCGTACTCCTCAGTGAGAGGGCCCAAGAAGTGTCCTCAGGGAGGAAACATAAAAGGGCTGAGTTGAGAAAGGGAAGCTATTGGAACAGGTTGTCTGCTCCCTGAGCTCTGTCCAGGGTGCTGAAAGACCTGCTTTTCTTACCCTCCTTATTCTACAGCAGGGGTCAGAAAACTTTTTCAGCAGGGGGCCAGTCCACTGTCCCTCAGACCTTGTTGGGGGCCGGACTATTTTTTTTGGGGGGGGGAAGAAATGAACGAATTCCTATGCCCCACAAATAACCCAGAGATGCATTTTAAATAAAAGTATGCATTCTACTCATGTAAAAATACGCTGATTCTCGGACCGTCTGCGGGCCGGATTTAGAAGGCGATTGGCCTGTATCCCTGGGCCTTAGTTTGCCTACCCATGTTCTACACAGAAATCCTATCCCCGATGAAAACTTTTATCTGTTTCTGGCTTCTCTTCTTTTACACTTGAGGCTGCTTGCAGGATTAGTACCCATCTGACTATACCATGAGATATGCCTCAAACAACAACAATAAAAAGGAGGGGGAACTGTCCACTAGGGCACAATCCCTTGAGAACAGCCATAGCTCAGTGGTAGAGTATTTGCGTATTTGCTTTGCATGCAGAAGGTCCCTGATCCAGTCCATAGAAACCCCAGAGAATTGCTGCCAGTCAGTGCACACAGAAATCAGCTACGTGGTTTGGCCTGCTGCAAGGCAGCTTCCTTATAGCATGTGTGAATGCCACTGGAATTAATAGAGCTGCATAAGAATATAGTTTCCATTTCAATGGAATTTATTTATTTATTTATTTATTTATTTATTTGTATTCCACCTTTTCATATCAAGGTGGCGCACACACGTCTCCCCTTCTCTGAGTAGACCCACTGAAATCAATGAAGACTGAAATCCATTTATTTCCGTGGGAACACTCTGAATATGACTTAGATGCAGCCCAAACTTATTCAGTCCAAGGTGGATGAGTTTACAAAGCAGTTTGGATGAGCCATTATGGCCATTAGTTTAACAGCAAATGGCCTTTTAATCCCCAATGCATAGTGCTGGTTTATCTCCCTTTGAGTGTAGTCACAAATCTGTAGAGATTCTGGGTGCAACATGCTGGAATTTCTTCCTACTGTTGTTTATTTGCCCAAAAGTGTCAATGAGGGCAAATGGTGCCACTGGATTTAGCTCGGTCTCCCTAGCATCGGACTGGCTGGCACAGAAACAGCAGAGGAAATGATGTGTCAGTGACTAATGCCTCTGCTGTGCCATCTCTTCTGATTTCAATCCTTGGCATTCACTGTACTGTCTTTATTTTCAGTCCCTGCCTTTGAAGAATCAAGATAATTCACAAACAACAGCTCTCCCTTTGTGCATTTCAGGCGCTGGAGAAGGTCTTTGCTGTGCCAGCTGGGTTTTACTGGCAGACCGTAGAGACGGATGAAAAATACTTCCCCAGCGGCAGTGATATCAGAGAGAGCAGCGACACGGATAGTGAGGTACAAAAGAACCAACTTCCACCCACAAAATATCTGCCTCCTTGCTTCTTCAGAAAGCCCAGGTCATTCATACTGTGCAGGCCTACTTCCTGCCAGTCTTGGGTCATTCAAAGGTCATGACAATTCTGTATGGAAATGAGAACTTCCTAAAGCAGGTGGCCCTCAGAAGACTGTCTGTGAGAAAGGTTGCCCACCCCTGCCCTAAAGAAACAACCAGGAATATATTATTTCACATTATTCCTTCCTGTATGCCATGATCATTTCTTCAGAGGCCCAAGTGAAGTGAAGCAGCTGATGACCAGGGAGTTGGGGGCTTCTCTGTGGTGGCACCACTGTTGTGGAATGCCCTCCCCAGAGAGACTCTCCTGAAAGTTTCTTTATGGTCATTTCAGTGCCAGGTGAAAACTTCTTTTATTCTACCAGGCCAGGTCTTTGTCCAGGGTCCTGACCTGACCTTAGTTTCCAGTCTATTTAGGAGCCCTGGGTCTACCACTCTCCATCTTGCTTGGGCCATCACTTGATTTCAGTGGTGGATGTCAGGACAGATGTAAGGCAGGTGGACCAGATAGATTCATACCTTCTTATAACTCTAAGTGTCCAGATGATTTCTACAGTTTGAACTGGTTACAACTGTGAGATGATCTCTAGATAATGTAAACCAGAGACAGGGGACCTATGGCCCTCTAGATGTTAAAGGTAAAGGGACCCCTGACCATTAGGTCCAGTCATGACTGACTCTGGGGTTGCGGCACTCATCTCACTTTATTGGCCGAGGGAGGCAGCGTACAGCTTCCGGGTCGTGTGGCCAGCATGACTAAGCCACTTCTGGCGAAACAGAGCAGCGCACAGAAATGCCGTTTACCTTCCCGCCAGAGCGGTACCTATTTATCTACTTGCACTTTGAGGTGCTTTCGAACTGCTAGGCTGGCAGGAGCAGGGACTGAGCAACGGGAGCTCACCCTGTCGCGGGGACTTGAACCGCCAACCTTCTGATCGGCAAGTCCTAGGCTCTGTGGTTTAACCCACAGCGCCACCCGCATCCCTCTCTAGATGTTAGTGGACTCCAAAATCCATCATCACTGTCCATAGGCTATGTTGGCTGAGGGTGATGGGAGTTGGAGTCCAGAAACATCTGAAGGACCAAAGATTCTCCATTATTGATGCAGGCAGACCTAGGGCTGAAGAGGGTTTCAGAGGCTACTGGCTTGGGATAAGGCCTCATGTAAACAAGTTTTGATAGAATAACCTGTGGGTTGCAGAAGCATGTGCTGAGGTCAAGTATGTCCTTGCAAATGATTTGCAGATTCCAGCTTTATTTTTTATTATTAAAAAATAGGATCAGCATCCTTTATGCGATGGGGATTAACTGCAGGATGGTTTCTTATCAGTCAGTTGAAGGCAAAGTCAATACATGGGGAGCTGTAATTAGTTTGATAGAGCAGAGCGGGTTTTATTCTTCTAGCTGGAGAAGGCTTTTTATTACTTTAGTAGATTTATAACTGTGTTTATTATAATGAAGTAAACCTCAAGATGCCTTTACGGAGAAGGAGCATTTGGTAACACTCCATTTCAAGTGCCCAATAATGATGAATTCATTGGGCGTTTATTGGCATAAGAACAAAGCTAGTTCTTGGAGGTAATTCAAAATAAAGTGTTATAGGAAGAATGCAGATCCTCTAGTCAACCCAACCACTAGAAAATAGCGATTCTTTCAGGAGCTAGACCCACACACTTCTATAGAAAATGTTTTGTTTCAGTCAGTAAGTCTGAAATCAGATCAAACACAATTCCAAGTGAATCACATTCCTTTTTTTAAAAAAAAGATTTTTATTACATTTTCAATTACAAAATCAGAAACATATAGGGCATATTAGAAAGAAAGAAAAACAGAAAAAGAAAAATTTAAAAAATCCAACCTTCAAAGACATTTTTACAATACCAACTGGACTTCCCCACATCTCCCTTACCCTGCGTTCCTCACAATACACATATCAGCAAATTATTCCCTTATTTCATATCATATTTATAACTTTCAGATCTCATACTTCGAAATTTAAAATTCCTTTTGTCAGTAGCTTATACCCTAAAATAGATATATTTTGGTTTAAATTTCAACCTTTTCTTATTTGTACCTTAATTTCCTTCACTGAATCTAGTTGCTGAAGCTAAAATTTCCAAATCGTGCAAATTCTTAACATTCATACAACTTATAATGTTTTTGTAAATAGTCCTTAAATTTTTCCCAGTCCTCTTCCATTGTTTCTTCTCCCAAATCTCGGATTCTGCCAGTCATTTCAGCCAGTTCCATATAGTTCATCAATTGCATCTGCCATTCTTCCAGCAAGTGAATCACATTCCTAATGGTGTCTTCATTTCAGCTGGTGGTGGAAGAGTGAATACTTTGGGACCAGCAATGTAAGTGCAAGGGATTTAGGATAATCCTAATCTCTTGCAAGGCTGGGCTTAGAAAAACAACTAAAGCCAAGGGTGTGTGCCTTTACAGTGGTACCTCAGGTTAAGTACTTAATTCATTCCGGAGGTCCGTTCTTAACCTGAAACTGTTCTTAACCTGAAGCAGCACTTTAGCTAATGGGGTCTCCTGCTGCCGCTGTGCTGCTGGAGCACGATTTCTGTTCTCATCCTGAAGCAAAGTTCTTAACCCGAGGTAATATTTCTGGGTTAGCGGAGTCTGTAACCTGAAGCGTATGTAACCCTAGGTACCACTGTACTGTGTAGACAAGTGGGAGTTGGTAGCCCAAAACATCTGGAGAAAAAAAGTTGGGGGAGAGGTGGATCTGTACTGACTGCCAATGGCTCCCCAAGGTTTCAGAGAGAGATCTTGTTTTTTGGCTTCATCCCTTTCAAAAAGGTTGTGTTAAATCTGTGAGGATTCCCTCTCTCTCTGAAATCTGAAAAATAACCCTTAATTGTAAATTTTAAAATGTCCCCTCCTCCTAAGCGTGTGACTGTCTGGAGCCCTATCTGTTTTCTTCCTGCTTTCTGTTCCCTGCTCAGGTTGCCATGGCACTGCTGTTTGAGACCCTTCTCAGAAGCCCCCTGGCTGTCCATCACACACTCCAGCTGATTCTTGCCTCTGGTTTGGATATCTGTGGATTCCGCCTGCTCTACCCACAGCCGGACATGTTCCTCTCTAGCACAGGTGAGAGGCATGGAGTGTCTGGGCAACTTGGACTGCAGCACAACAATGGTAGGCAGTTATTGAGCCACCATTGGTAAACTTCAGGTACATTCTCACGGTCATAAAATAGTAAATGGCAGACAGTTATTAAAATATGGCCTGCAGCAAGGAGGGAAGAGAGGTAAAGCATCTGTTTTTCATATAGATGATGCCCGGTTCCATCGCCGGCATCTCCAAGTGGGAAAGACTCTTTCCTGAAACCCTGGAGAACCACTGCCACCCATTGTAGGCAGTACCGAGCTAGATGGATGGAGAGTCTGACTCTCAGGTTCTTATGTTCCATTTTGTGTCTTCACCTCTCTTATTTCTCTTCCCCAGTAACACCACCGTCTTGTTATACCCAAGAGAAAGGGCCCTCTGTGCTAGCACTGAGCCTGAGAGGGCAAAGAGCCCGTGGCATCCTGCAAGATATCATGGGCCCCTCTGACACACAGCTGGCCAGAGTTACGGACTGCCACTCAATCAGTGCAATCTATGGTTCAAGCCGAGCCGAGCCTCTTGCCTACCTCCCTCACATGGACAGCCGAGTACACAGGGAGCTCTGCTTCTGGTTTGGAGGGAGGGTGAGCTGCGACGGGACGCTTCACGGTGGAGTTCCAAATCCTGTTGGCAAATGCAGCAAACCAAGGTGACAATCCCAGATGGGTGTGAGGTGCTGGAATTCTGCGAGAGTAGCTTGTGGGTAGTATTGAGCTGAAAGATCTCCATGGAAGGAATTTTTTAGTGAATAATTAGTGGAAGGGAATGTTAGCAAAGTCACTTAAATAACACAGATGGAATCTGGGGAGAAAAGTCCTGATAGTACTTCACTGAGGATACTGAGCAAAAAAGCAGTGTCCAGTTTAAGGAGAAAGGAACAGAGAGGGTTTGTCTTTCTTTGTTCAGTCCTTGTACATAGCAGGGAGGCATTCAACCAAACATACAGAGGAAAATTCCCCCAGAATTACATAGCCAATCAGAGCTCGTGCAACCTCAGTGAAGATCATGCCACTCTGCCTGGTTGCTAAGCACAGTTTCCAACTGTCCACTTCTGAAGGATAGCCATGTTTCAGTTCATGCATTGGTTTAGGAGGTGTGGGATTAAGTAGGTTCTCATTGAAATGCAAACCAAATCTGATTTCTCCCCCATCTGTAACTGCATCATCATGTAATGTATTTCCAAGGGGGTTACTGAGCAGGAAAAGTGTGATGACACAGCTGTCAATAGGATCACAGCTGCTTCTTGCTTTGGGAGCAGCAAAACTAATTTGGATTTATGTATTTTTTAAAGCAGACAATCTATTGCTGACCCCCCTTTCCCCAGGAAGCCAGTCTCAGCTCCTGAACATTTGTAGAAACGCCCCACCCCCCACTTTTTAAAAAAGTTGTGGGAATTTATTCTAGGGAAAGTATGCTCCAAATCACACCATTAACTTGAACTGACTGCAAAGATTTCAGCCCTGACCATTAGATGCCACTTGTACTTTTAAACACCCATGCCCAGAGAATTTTCTTTAAGAATTTTGAGCTGCTGGTTGGACAAGAGAGAGAGAGAGAGAGAGAGAGAGAGAGAGAGAGAGAGAGAGAGAATTTTCCTATTCCATGTTTTGAGATGGAAGACCAAGACACGAACAGTGTGTTGGGTTTCTAAATGGGTTTCTATTACCAGCTCTGATGTTCTGTACATTTCACCTTGCTGCTTCCCTCCTCAGCTGGCCAAAAAATGTGTGAATCTGAAAGATGGCTGTAAAGGCTTTTTATCAAGGCTATAGAGGCTGAGGGGTGGTGAGAATAGATATCGCTTGCCAAAAAAATTGCTGTTTGCTCTGGTCTTTTGATGTGATGTTGGCAGGTGTAAAAAGGACTGGGCTGTGTTTGAAACTTTGCAGTTCTATCCTCGTTGCTCTGCCACAGGATTTTAACTACATCCTATGATAAACATCATCCAACAAGCCACTTCATCCCAAGTAGGGATGGATGAGTCTGTCAATTTTGGTTGCTCACAGTTTCTCATTTTTCCAAGCTTAAATTCGGTTCTCCCCATTTCTGCAGCAATTTACCAATAGTTGTGGGTTGTTGGTGTTTGTTTTTAATACTTGTGAAAATTCATCAGTATTTTAGTGTGAGTATTTCATAACATATACATTTTCATGTGCGCTTTTGACCAATATACACATTTTTGCAAGCACATTTCCCTAAAATAATGCATATTTGTATGTTTTTTTAATGAATGTCTGCATTTTTATGCTCACTGTCACCTACATTTTTGTACGCATTGTTTAGAATGCAACTGTTCAATATGTCTGTCTTTCTCATTATACCACTTCCGCCCCAGACTTCCTAGGCCTTCACTCCACAAGGCAGATGCTGACCAAGAACCAAGCAACTTGCAGGACGCTACAGCCTTATGGCCTCCAGCGGCTCTTGTCTCTACCACCAAAGGTTGTTCTTGCATAGCAAATATTGCACAAGAAATTGAATCTCCTTTCCTTATAGAACTCTTCTTTCATGCTGCCACCACTTATGTCACGTTAAGCTCAGTCCTTAGCATGCTAATTTGGTAATGTAACCCTCTGATCATCATCAGATGCCCTGCTTTGTGTGCCTCCTCCATGAGAGGTCCAAAGGGTGGCAACATGGAGTGGCTCCCTGTTTGTGGAGTGTTCTCCCTAGGGAGGCCTGCCTGGTGCCTTCATTATTCCTGTTTAGTTGCCAGGCAAAAACGTAGCTCTTCAGCCAGGTCTTTGGCTGATTATCATTCTATGTCCTTTTAAATGGTTTTTTTTTTTTTTTTTTTTTTGGTGAGGGGTAATTGGTTTGTTTCGTTCTTGTTTTTATTATGTATTTTGTGTTTTTATGTTGTATTTGTATGCTGTGAACTGCCCTGGGATCTTCAGGTGAAGGGTGGTATAATAAAAAATAATAAGTGGAATCACAACAACAACAATTCTCTGGCCTCCCCAACTGAAATTGCCTGCATAGAAGATTCAGAGCAACTTGGCCCTCATGCCTCCTCCTTTGCTTCCAATTTGTCTCTGATTCCATACAGTGGTACCTCAGGTTACATACGCTTCAGGTTATAGACTCTGCTAACCTAGAAATATTACCTCGGGTTAAGAACTTTGCTTCAGGATAAGAACAGAAATTGTGCTCCAGCGGCGCAGCGGCAGTGGGAGGCCCCATTAGCTAAAGTGGTACTTCAGGTTAAGAACGGACCTCCGGAACAAATTAAGTACTTAACCCGCGGTACCACTGTAATTTGGTAATAGTGATCAGAACAAAGGATGAGGATGATATTCTAGCACCAGCCTTCTTCTTGGGATTAGTCACTCGTGAAAAGGTCCCTGCAGTGGTACAAAGAGCCCCTCAGAGCCAGTCGGATAACCTCCTTCTGCTTCCCCGCCCCACATTTCCCAGGAGACATTATTTTGATGGCATCGCCTGCTGTGCCTCCTCACATCTATGGCCTTGTGATTTCAACCTGCACCCAGAGAGGATTTGTACTCCAGGGGACCAAACAGCTGCAGCTGTCGCCCAAGCAAGCTCACGTGCTCGGTGTGCCAGCAAGCCAGGTAAGACTGTGATTGTGGGGCTCGTATCCTTGAGCCCTACTGAGGCCTGCACCCCTGTGTGAGGGGCGTGGGGGGCCAGCTCTCAATACCTGGGGCCTTCTTGCCATGCCTATTCTCCTGCCCTCTCCAAGTGAGTGAAGTTTGAGAAGAACAAGGAGAAGGAGGAGGAGTTCCACCACCCACCCTCTTCTTAGCCTCGTTCTGGTGGGACAGTGCCAGTTGGGCCCAGAGGGAAAGACAAGACATATTTGAACTGCTGAACTAACTCTCACAGGAAGTAGTAGTGATGGCCACTAACTTGGATAGCTTTGAAAGAGGATTGGACAAAGGCTATCAAGGGCTGCGCTCCACAATGGCTATGCTCCTCCTCCATGGTTAGAGGCAGTAATGGAAATCAATTTCGTGGTGGGTGGGAGTGTTATTGTGCTTGGGTCCCGCTTGCAGTTTTCCCCACTGGGGCGTCCGTTGTCCACTGTGAGAACAGGATGCTCGACTAAATGGGCCATTGGCCAGATCCAGCAGGCTCTTCTTACGTTCTTATGGGCATTGGCAAGAGTTCTATTGCCTTTCAATATAGATGGCACTGACAGCTGTGGTCAGTGTGGTGTGAGAGCCAGTGTAGTGTGGTGTAGTGGTTAAAGTGTTGGTTTAATACCTGGGAGACTTTGTTCAAATCCTCACTCCGCCGGTGAAGCTCACCTTGGACTGGTGTCTGACTCTCAGTCTCACCAACCTCACAGGATTATTGTGGGAAGAAAGGTGGCGTGGGAAGGAATCATTTACGTCATCTTGAACTCCTTGGAAGAAAGGTGAAATATAAAGAAGATGATGATAATTCAGCCATTCTACCATGCTCCTCCTCCATGCATCCTTTTTTCTTTGGTAATAGCACACAAATACAATACGTTCCAGGAAATTGTTCCATAGGTGAGCGTTTGCATAATGAGAGGACGATTTCCATTATTTCCTATGGGAACATTTCTGATCCGTGATTTGTTCAATCTCCCACCTCCCTCCATGGTATCTTCCTGAAATGGCTGCAACCAAGCACCAAGGGAGAGACAAAGGGGAAAAAAATGATTTGTCTGATCTCTCACCTTCCCTCCCTCCATGGTTTCTGCCTGAAAATGGCTGCTGCTACCAGCAGAGCACAAACAAGCGAGGAAGTAGCTGCTTGCACATCTGAATCAGCCATTCGTGTAGCAATAGCGGGACCTGTGTATTTTTTTTTTGCAAGAAACAATTTTTCTTTTCTTTTACATTCAAAACAAATTAAAGATCAAACCAAAAAGGTATATAAACCATTCCATATTTGGACTTCCCCACACCCTCCGGAACTGCATTCTTTATAGTTTAATAATGTCAGCAATTTGTTACCTTGTTTCATACCTTATTGTAACTTTCAATTTGTTATGCATCCAAATTCAATATATTGTATCTTAATTTCAATGCTTTTAAAATAAACATAACATT